TCAAAATTTAATCACAAACATCACACAAAAACCAAAACTTCAACTAAATTAAGACGTCTGTATTGGATGATCGGGAATTCCTCGGAGGAGGTAACCTACAGTTGCTAACAAGGCTTCCTACGGTTTAAATGAAATTATGGAACTCATTAAGTTGGGTTTAGTAAGTTCATTTGGACTAAGTGAATCCAATAGAAAATATTGATGCTGGAACGAGGGAACCGTAGGATCCTAACCGGTGTCGCTCTAATAAACTTTAGCAACCCGCATAAAATTTAAAGAACTACAAGCATAGGGTCACCTGATTTGACATCCTAGTTGGACACCCTATAAAAGATAAACTCGTCAAAGCAACGATCTTGGAGCTAGGATGGTGGGCAGCACGACTATCTTCAACAGTAAAACCTGTCTTCCCCAGCTAAACCAACTTCCTTCCTTAGAATTAAACAACCAAACCACATGATTTTGAGTTTTTTGCTTATGCAACATAAATCTTCACTTTATGTTTAGGCTTTTGTACAACTTTGTTGTACAATATAAGCCCTAACTAGTCTTTGAATGCTGAGGTTGTCGTTCGTCACGACTTAAATCCTGACATCATTCAGGCTATTTGTGTGATCGTTTCACACAAATGTAAGCCCTAAATTAATAAAATTGGCAGGATGAAACACCTAAATATTTCTCCTCAAAAGTGAAGCCAAACCATAGGATAGACTGGGAAGTCACCGAGGTTTTCCTCTGGATCTATGACATCTCCTTGTTCTTTCTCCTTTGGATTTCAAAAACAAACTACTACAACTTTGAACCAATCCCATTTCACACCTCTTTATCCGATTTCATTGAAAAGTCCTATCCTTTTGAAATCCTTGAAGATAATATTTCCTGATTTTTATCAAGAGTTTTCTTAAGTGACTTTGGTCATTTAGGATGTAATTAACTATAAGGGCTTGCCCTTATAGGAAGCTTTTTCCGAACCTAGTTAATATAAATCCTATTTAATCTTATATATTAAATAGGGTAAATTTTCCATGAATAACACTGTTTTGCAGACCAATTGGACGTCAAATATTTCTTAGTTTATGTTGATGAGTCTCATCCTCAAGTCTTGTGTTTATCCTTCGGGATTGATACAGGATTTGAGGTACATCGCTCTTTCAGTTTGATTTCATATTTTTCTAAAACTAAATATATATGTAAATTAAAACGTCCTTCCGAAGCGGGCGACGGGATTTCAATTCCAGTGACCGACAGCTTCTTACGGGCAACTCTTCCAACCAAAAATAGCGCCGACAACCCTCTTTGATGTTCTTGACTCAATAAGTTTTCATTGCCTTGTTAGAGCTACATGTCGTATCGGCTTTACCACTGTTTTAATGAATTCATTTTATTTTGTGATTTTATGTTGTTATTCATCTCTCTTTTATTAAAAGATATTCTCTTTCTTAGCTTAAGGTGAACTTCTTGTCCCAATATGTTCTCTATAAACTAAAGAAAGAGTTGTCTAAAAAGTTATGAAAAGAGCGTGTGAAGTATCCAAAGGAAAGACTAAGAGATCTAAGTCTCTATGGTCAAAGGGTTGCTTGTTATTTCATGCCTATAAGAACTCAACTCAACCTTCAATGACTTGACCTTAAACAACTTAACAAAGGATTAAAAATTCAAGGTCAAATGCATAATACTATTAAGGAGTTAAAGAGAAGTTTTAAATCCAAATTTGGCAATGGTTAAATCAGTAATTCTCTAGAAAAAAACTACTAACCCCCTGAGGCTAAACCCTAAATTCTACAGAAAGATAGGCTTCTTGCAAAACTGAGGTCAACACTTGATTACTCTGTGGCTCGGTTGGCTAGCTTATTTGTCGTCAGCTTGGTAAGGTTGATTCGGTCGGCTAGGCTAAGTTGATGGTGTTGGTCAGTTGAGCTTGATTGACTTCAGGTCCACTTGTTTGATTTGATTGGCTAGGCTTTGTTGATCAGTTGATCTAGTCAAGTCGTCAGCCTCAATCCTTTGATGAGGAGCTCCTGTCGACGAAATAAGACTAGACTATTGGGTTGTGGGTGAATCACCATAAACCGATAAGTAGCTCGTTACTCAATGAGAGGAGCCTGTGGGATGACTTTAAAACTTTATTGTATTGTCAATTCATGATCCCTGAAGAGGAGCCTCGAGGGCGTCCGTGAGATAACAGGTGATAATAAGGAACCGTGTCTTTCCATGTGTGAGATATATGGAAAGATATATTGTTACATTTTGTTGGCTTTCTTGTAGTGATTGGCTTGAATGCTTATCTATCTTGTTTTAATGTGATTGGTTCAGATTTGGATCAACCTATCTTCCTTTTATCCCTCTGATTGCTTGGTTGATCTTCGAGTTGGACTCATCTATATATATATATATATATATATATATATATATATATAATATCATGCATCATGAAAGTAAAATTTCAAACTTTAAATTAATGTCAATTATTTAATTTAAATATATTAGTTATACGAGTATATTCCACAATTCAAAATAAGAAAATGACGTAGACATAATATAGAATTAAATAAATATGGCAGAAGTCCTGGTATGTAAATTTTTTATCAGAAATTAAATAATAATAAATCATTTCCCAATTATAATAATTATAATATGAGAAAATTACTTGGAAATCATTCAAAATATTGATAATTTCAGGTTAATTACTCAAAATTTTTCTTAACTCCTAAATTAATATATTTATGCGTGCCACCATCAAAATGAAAAATATGAATCATTTGAATGAAATTTTGAAAAATGGATGAATAAAAGTAATTATTTTATAAATAAGAAGTTTCTGGCGGTCAGTATTTAATCTACTTAAATTTAAAAATAAATTAAAAAAATATATATTTTAACCAGGCTGTATTAAGGAGTTTTGACAAAAATATCTATCCCAAATTTAACCCTTCCGGCATGAGATAAAAACTGGGGAGCGTTGGAAGAGGATGAGAACATCAGACCTAGCTTTCCAAGGTTACCAGTCTCCTCTCTCTACTTTTCTCTTGGAATTTTCCATCTATAAATTCATATAATAATCCTTCGATATCTCTAGTTTCCTCGTACATTAATTTGTCGATCTTCCTTTGAGATCTCACTGGCGATTGACCCACACCGGCTTTGTCCGGCACCGGAGAGGTGCCTGGTGAAGCCCCAAAGGGAATGCATTAGGGTTTCGTAGGGTTTTTAGGGTAGGAAAAACACGATATAGGGCTAAAATGGTGACCAGATTGGTGCGGTGGCCATGGCCGACGGGTTCGTCGAAGAAGCTGGCTGTGAGGCTTATTGTGAGGGGAATTGAGGGGTTCCCGGTGGGTAAAGAATCGTGGGAGGAGACAAGGATGAAAGTGGAGGTGAGATGGAATGGGAAGACGAGGGCACTGCGTTCACTGAGGTCGGTGAAGAGGAACTGCACGAGGGAATGCGTGTTTAATGGTGACAGAGGGATGGTGGAGTGGAACGAGGAGTTTGAGAATGTAGTTGTGCTCACGGCTCACAGGGAGAACAGTTTCAATCCGTGGGAGATCGAGATCGCCCTCTTCGTTGTGAGTTTTATCACTCCAATGCAATTCCAGAACTTTTAATCCTCTTTTTTATTTATTTATTTTTTCGTTTTCATTTGTTTGTTTATGTTTCACTTTTTATGACTTTCTGGTTTTTGTTTGGGTTCTGCCGTTGATTTTTGTCCATTTGAATTTAGATTTTTGAATGTGTGGCGACTCTTTTAGGGTTTGGATGATAGATGGGATGGTTCGTGTTTTCCTTCTCTGTAATTTTGTTTCCCTTTCTAGAAAATCTCTGCTTGTTCTTGGAAGATCATTTCTCGAATGGTCATTCTATGCGCTGCTGTTGTGACGTTATTTTTTTCCCCCATCTGATCTTTTTAGAATCCATGCGAGGTGGGAAGTGGAGCAATCGATTTTATTTTGCGGTGATGGATTTTTCACGATAATTGGAACTTGTGGCCTCTCCATGTCTCCACTTCGCTCTCATGTGGGCTTCTTGTTATTAGATTTGTCTTTTGTTTTGTTCTTTTTCGCATTGTTTTTTTTTTTTTAATTTATGCGTCGATACCTGCGATTCCTGTTTCAACCTCGTGCCGTTTGATGATCATAAACTTTGTGAAGTTCCACATTTAATTGCATGAGTAGTAACAAATGTTTCAAAGCTTGTGTTATACTTACCTATTACTTTAAAATTTTGCAATTTTTCTTTTGCATATGCAGAAAATATTTTATCAGAAAATTTTACTAGATATCTTTTTTTATGACGAACATGTTGTGGGATATAATTCAATCGTAATTATATATAAAAATAGAAAAACCAGCATGACTCCACTATTAATGAATTGCAATGGTTTGTTTTCTTTTCAAATGGTCCATCCCAAAGCATAGAAGTACCTAGAACAATTTTTTTGATTGCTTTGGTCCATTCTTACAAGTACCTAGAACAATTTCTACTATTTGAAACATTTCTAATTTTCAACAGGGAAATGTTATACAACATCTGTTTTTTACTTGATGAATAACTTTTAATAGATAACATGAAAATTTGTGTTATTTGGTGCTTTCAACTTTGGTTCCTCGCTCAAAATCTTCATAGTCTGGTATTCCTTGATATAAATATTACATAATTTGCTGTTTCTGTGGAGCATTTAAATCTGTGAAGATCATTCATTTTAACATCCTTTACCGACCATTATTTTGTTTTGACGATTATTTTTGTGCCACTCTGGTATATGGACGTCTCTAAATTAAATTCCAACAAATTGCTTTGATTCTTTAGGGTCCGAATGCGGGTACTAAGAACAAGACGCCTGTGGTCAGAACAACTTCATTGAATCTTGCTGAATATGCTTCTGCCCTTGGGGAAGAGTTTGTGCTAAATCTTCCATTGCTGCCATGCTTTAGTGCTGAGCCTTCCCCGATAATTCATGTATGGTAGAGTGATTCTTTTATAAAAATGTGCAGTTAATTACTTCAAAAACTATGATAAATATTGCTAATATGTCCAAATGTTGCTCGGCTAATAGCAAAGGAAGCATTCTATAGGTAATTTGTTTTCAATTTTGTTCTGATTTGATCTATATTAAATTACCTGATTGCCATAAAGTCATTTATATGCTTAATATTTTAATTCTTTTGCATTGCTAATCCACTCAATATAAATAGGTTCAAGTGCGTTGACCTTTTTAACGTTGAACATTTTTTTTTTATCTTTTATTTTTGTTGTGCTGCAGTTGTCTTTGAAATTGCTAGAGTTGAGGACTTACCCGCTTCAACAAGAGACAGTGAAGGCCACAGCATCTCCAACTTCCCTTGTAGATAAAGATGACCTTTCTTCTCTTAAAGCTGGATTTAGAAGAGTATTTAGAGAGTTTATGCCTGTTAGGAAGCTCAGAAAGAGACTCCGCAGTGATGAAGGTAGCGATGGGCAGTCGTCTGTTAGGACCGAAGATAGTTACTATGCTCACACATGTAGTACTGATTCTCCGGTACATGATGAAGCTAGCGAAGAACTTGAATGTTGCAACGATGATGCTATTACTCGAAAATCGTTCTGTTATGGTACATTGGCAACCGCAAATATGTTTGGTGTTAATAATTACAATGATATAAATATGAATGAGAACGATGAAGATTTAATTTATTACAGTCACAAAAGATATGATGTTGATTGTTCACATTTTGAGGAGTCTATGCCATCCATTACTGAGAAATCTCCCAGAAGAAGCTTTTTTCTCTGGAAAAAGAGGAAATATTATTTAAGATCTAAGGCAAGAGGTGAACCTTTGTTGAAGAAAGCTTATGGAGAAGAGGGAGGGGATGACATTGACTATGACCGTCGTCTGCTTACCTCATCTGATGAATCTTTCTCAGGAAAGGTATCATTACTTTTTATCTCAAATGAAAAATTACACCTCCTTTTACTTTGGTTTGAACAAAATCATTTCTCTTGGCTGCCAACTAAAGGATGACTTTGCTAGATTAGTTAAAATATCCATTGTCTATTTTGTTGAAAACTAAACAATTCATGCACCTTAAATTCTTTTTTCTTTTCCTGTCTGGCAACTAAAGGATTGCTAGTTTTATTTTTCCCTGGTGCAGAAGTCTGGTGATGATGAGTCTGCTAATCATTCATTGCTATCAGAATTTGGAGATGACAATTTTTCTGTTGGCTGTTGGGAGTCTAAAGAGATCATTAGCCGTTGTGGACAAATGAAGCTCTACACTCAGGTCTTTTTCGCTTCCATTGACCAGAGGAGTGAAAGAGCTGCTGGTGAGAATGCATGCACAGCTTTAGTTGCTGTTATAGCTGACTGGTTCCACTCTAATCAGGACATGATGCCCATAAAGTCTCAGTTAGACAGCCTCATTCGTGAAGGCTCCCTTCAATGGAGAAACTTATGTGAAAACCAGACATATAGAGAACGATTCCCTGACTACCATTTTGACCTTGAGACGGTTCTCCAGGCAAAGATCAACCCCTTATATGTTGTACCTGGCAAGTCATTCATTGGATTTTTTCACCCAGAAGGCTGTGAGGATAACAGTGGCTTTGAGTTCCTGCATGGAGCCATGTCCTTTGACAGCATTTGGGAAGAGATCAGTCAGGCTGGACATGATTGCGTATTCATTGTCAGTTGGAATGATCACTTCTTTGTCCTTAAGATTGAGCAGGATGCCTATTACATCATTGACACGCTTGGAGAGAGACTCTATGAGGGCTGTGATAAGGCTTACATACTAAAGTTTGATATGAGCACCACTATCCTTAAATTAGCAAGCAGGAACGAAAGCGGTGCAAATGGGAAGGAGGGGGGTTCTTGTGGAGAACAAATCGAATGTGACACACTTGAGGAGGAGCTTGTTTGCAGTGGAAAGGAATCTTGCAAGGAATACATAAAGAGCTTCCTGGCTGCAATTCCTATCCGGGAGCTCCAGGCCGATACAAAGAAGGGGCTAATGATCTCTACTCCGCTTCACCAACGCCTTCAGATTGAGTTCCACTACACAGAGGCATCAAAAGATCTATCCAGCTTTGTTGGTTTTCCACCACCACAGTCCTCATTGTTCTCTTGGCCTGCATATCCATCACCCGCTGCGTGACGAATTATTTCGTGATGAAGGTCTCTTTTTAGCTTTTCTTTACATTGATGAAGTCCTAACTGATATGACTAAGGTGAGAGATGCAGCAGCTTCTTAACATGGGACTGGATGGGTATAAGCTAAAGCGGGCAGCCCATATCATAGATTCCAACTTACCTGATGCTAACTGGAACTCTTATTTATTTATTTATTTTTTTCTAGCTGCAACTCTCCCTTCTGCTTTGATTTTGTAGTCAAGATTGTCGTTAGTTTTGTTCAGTATGCTCTCATTTAATCAGCTCTCTGATAGAAGACTAATGACTGATTTTGATCACTCTCTAATCTATTCTTTGGATTTCGTCAAAGTTTATATAAAACCATTTGTTTGGTCTCCATTTTATTTCTCTGAAAACCAGTTTTTTTTCTTGTGGTGATTTGTGGTTGGATGTATTACCGCAGGATGCTTATAGCGCAAGCTGATGTAATGAAATGTAAACTTCTGAGCAGTGTGGTTCATATTTGTTTTGATATTTTGATATTGACTAATATGAGCCCTCTTTCGGCCCGGATTCATGTTAGGAGTGGCTGCTGTGTACCCTCTAGCGTAAATAGTTTCTCAGAATAATTACTGATCTCTTTGTTTGTTTTTTAGCTTTCACGCAGTTTATTATCATTTGAATACATAATCTACTTTATATTTTTTGGTTGGCTTATCTTCATACATTGTTCAGACTTTTTTGCTGTTTGTTACCTCCACTCGTATCTATGTGAATGAATAACTTTCCATGCACTTTCTGCTGACAACTCCAAGTACATTGATGGATTTGGCCCGAATTCACAAGGCCATGTACTGAAACAGTATCGTGTTGGTTGATTTCAACGTGAGTGCTATATTTAATGAATTGAGCTCGATTTTGATAAATATTTCCAATTGTGGATAGCTTTAAGTGCTGGAAGAATAATTTTCGATTTTTTTTATTTCCTTGATTTTGCAGCAAATTATTCTTCTGATTTGGTCAATTTTTAGCCAAGTTTATAACTTGCAAAATTTTATAAAATTCTAGTCCTATAGAACCTGACGCTTAGAGGAGGCCGCGCGGCCTGCGCTTTCATGTGTGGAGGTGGCCTCCTTTCATTTGCACTCCAATTATCTATCCTTCAAGCAAAATGCATTCCGATTCATGCTAACCAATTTCACTATAAAAATTGAAAAAAAATGAAATTTCATTTTTGAAAGTGAGTTTAAACAGTCACTGGATTACAAATTAATGAAATTGATATATGTATATATATATATATATATATCAAAATTGAAAAAAATTGAAAAAAGATGAAATTTCATTTTTGAAAGTGAGATTTTACACTCACTGGATTACAAATTCACGAAGTTGATATATATATATATATATACTCACTTTCAAAAATGAAATTTGATCTTTTTTGAAAGTGAGATTAAACAGTCACTGGATTACAAATTCATGAAAGACTAGATTTCATTTTTTTAATTGAGATTAAACACTCATTGGATTTTTTAAAAAGAAATCAATATTTGAGAGAGGTCTAAATATTGGTTTTCCATGCGTTTTTTGGACCCTTGATGAGAGCTCGTGCCGTGTGCCTAAAATTCTAGAGCCCTTGCGTCACGTTGGGATCGAACCCTTAACCAACAGACCAAGGCAAAAAAAACATTAAATTAAAAGAGCAGCTCGTGGCTCCTTACGCGTTAATATAGAAAGATGTTACAAAATAAGGGAGGGAAAGTGGATCCTCATCTAAAAGCAAAAAATATATTATATATTAAAGTCTTAGGGGTTCCCCATTCCACAATACAACTCCACGCAAAGGGAAACAAAATGGTATAGTATATCCCAAAATACATGCTACTCAAAATAGTATACCAAAGAAAAGTATACCCAAAACAACGTGTAGACAAAGGACAAAAACTCAGTGATCTCGAACAACAAAAGGATAATATGAGAGCTTCCAACAGACATTAGATGAGTAAGATCCCAAGCAAAAGGATTCTGGTAATCCAGGTAAGTGCAACCTGAAAAGATCTGCACAAGAAAGGTGGCCCAAAAATCCGTATCGCGAGCCTAGTAACCTGCGAGAAAGATATCTAAAACACCACAACGAACCAGCATATAGAATAGTTGGTACAAACATAAATGAGAGCAGCCTGGGGGCATAATATATAAATAATAAATAATTGTATGGTATGTATGTAAAATTTCCAATATATTTTTATATAATTGACGTCAAAAATGATGCAAAAAAAGTCTTTGATTTAACGGATCCAAATTTTTTTCTCAAACTTAATTAGTGGTCATCGTTCGCTTATCCCCCGCGAGCAAAATAAAAACCTTTATCGGAGGAAAAACAAAAATATGGGGTGGGAGTGATAGAAAGCTGCACTGAGCTTCTTCCCTCCCTACCTTCCTAATCCCGATCAAAATCATATCTTGTCAATTGTGTCTTCTTATAAATTCCATCTCCACCTCACGATTCCTCCCGCCGAGCCCCTCTTATCCTCCACTCTGGATTTTAATGAAGCCCGCTTCTGTCCCCATGTCTCTCCTTATATTTCACCACCTAACCTTTCTTTCCCTCTGCTTAAAAAGGCAATACATAGAAGTCCGGAGGTACTTCTCTTGTGTCTTCTTCTATTTCTTTTCATCTTTTGCTTGCTTCATAAAGTTGCGAACATTCAGTTCGGCGCTCTATTGAGCTCAATTGCTCTTTGAGGAGGAAGATGGATTATTTTTATGGTCCGGGGAGGCATCATTTGTTCGTGCCGGGACCGGTGAACATCCCGGAGCCGGTCATCCGAGCAATGAACCGTAATAATGAGGACTACCGCTCTCCGGCTGTGCCGGCGTTGACGAAGACTCTACTTGAGGATGTTAAGAAGATATTCAAGACGACGAGCGGAACCCCTTTTCTGATTCCCACCACAGGTATCTCTCTGTTTTTTCATCAATTTATTTGTTTTTATTCTTTTATTTACCTTTTTTTATGGTTAATATTTTGCTATTGCAGTATAGGTTGGGTGCCGGATGAGTAGTTCTTTTTTACTATTGGTTAGTAATTTTGACCTAGTTGTTAATTGGGACAGCATAAAGCCTAGCCGTAGTTCTTGTAAAATATGAGGTATTGCTTGGTAAACATTTTATACTGAACCATCCTCCTCACATGGAAGTGGATTTAAGCTTCACCTTCTTTGACATGTTTGACAGAAGCCTCATTACATACTCTTAGTTTGGCCAACAAACAAAATTTTTTGGGGCAAATAGCATCATAGACTATAGGAAGAGTATAATAAAGTCCATAGTTCCAATAAGAAAATTCTATGGAAATCTGAACTCCGAATGTGCTGGGAAAAAAAAAGTATTAAGGCTTAGGGGTTGTTTGATAGAGGCTTTTAATAAGATTTCTCATTGGATTTATTAAATCCAGTAAAATGGCAAAATGTTGGAGCTCTATAAATTCATGAATTTTTCAGTTTTAGTAAATAAAATTTTGCCTTCGATTCGGCCTGATATTGATTTGCTAAATCCAAGGGATGGGTGGATTTATGGATTTATGGATTTACTAGTGTTAAATCCTTTTTGCAGATAAATTTCCCCTTAATGTGAATACATATGGTCAACACAAAGTTGTGAATAGGCATGAACAAAGTAATAAACATGGCTCACGAATTAAAGTGTCTTAATGGACAGATAAAAAAGGGTGTTAGGAAAAATATCTTGAGGCGAGGAAGCAATTCTAAAAATTTGAAGGGCCTGAAAATTTATTTTGCAAAAACATAATGAGCTATTCATTGTTCCAAAATCAAATCTTTATCTGATATTTTTTTAAGTTGTGCTCTTAAATTCGATCCAATAATAGCACCTCAAAACTATTGTTATTAATGTGCATGTAGAGGTGATAATGAGCTGAACTTGATACAGCCTACCTAAACATGAAGTCATAATATTTATCTGCATCGAACTTCTCGGAAAATGATAGATTTTGTGTTGAGTTTAAGCTAATTCAGGCATATCTTATAATGGAAGAATATTGTCTAATAACTCAAATTGAATTTTTTTCTATGTTCATACTCAAATAATATATATATATATTTAGAGGGACATTTAATTTACACACACACACACACACACATCGATATATATATATACATATATATATGTATATATATATAATTTAATTAAGTGCAAGATCGTAAAGATTTATAATCTTACATGTAGTTCATGCATCTGAAAATAATATCTTTGTATATAGTTTTTCACATAAATAGATAAATAATAATGAAATCTCATCTAAAATCATTGAGTTGACCATGATTTATTTTTTATTTGTTTGGCTAATTTATTTTATGTTTTAGTCATATTTAATTTAAAGTTAAGCAAGTAATTAATTGTGATAAAAAATAAATCATTATCTTTTTTTTTTTCTTAAATGCATGTCATGAGCTTTATTGCTTTGAGCTTGTTCCTCACACCCTTTTTGACCTCTAAAATAATTAAAACACACTTTTTTCACTAATGAACCTTTGATAAATTATACCAAAAATAATCTTCAAATATAGGGACACACGCAAACGCACACGCACACGCACACGCACACGCACGCACACACCATACATCCATAAATGCTATTGATTCTAACCGTTATGGATCAAATCACATGTAATTCCACAAAATTTATAATGTTGTTGCAGATATTTATCATAAATGAAGCCAAAAAAGAGAAAAATTATCATGAACTCTAATATCCTTAAGGGACAAGGAGTATCATAATTATTAATCCAGCCAAAAATTATTGAGCGAATTCTGAGCGTTGAAACCAACTCCTTCCATTTTCTCTCATAGAACTTTTCCTAGAGTGGCACTCTATCCAGGCGCTCTGGCATAGTTTTGATAAGGTAAATTACATATTAAACAAAAAACAGTGGCATTTGACTAAAGAATTATAGATATAGAACATTTAAAAAAAATGCATGAACAAATTTTAATCATAATGAATAATATTGTAAACATTTTTTGTCTCATTTTGTCGCCTATCTTCTTTAAACTGTAACAAAGAGGGGATGAAAGATGACCCTATGCCGTTTCAAAAACAGACCGCACATCGATATTCATTATTCAAAATAACCAGATTGCCACAAAGCCAAGGTCCAAGTAGCCAATATTGGAAGATTAACCACTTGCCAAAGGCATACCACATCAAGCATGTACATATGGAAACGTATGGCTATAATTGGAATAATGCAACTAAATATGAGACCACCAAAACCAGCCAACTAGAATCGAGACCAGCTCTAGAGAAAAAAGATGGAACATTTAATTGAAAGTATGAAGAGAAAATAAAAGATTTTCATAGAATGAGATATATGTCTTAACTAAATGCCAACTAAACCATATCATTGCTGCAATATTAATAAATGTAATGATGTAACCAAATAACTAAAATTGTAGGAACAAAGGTCAGCAAACTCAACAATTGAGAATATCCACTCTAACAAACTAATGGCTAAACACACTATAATATAGTGGAGGGAAATGTAGAAATTGGATACATATGAGCAATGATAAGATGTTAAGAAGAGCTGGATTAGAAATTAGGAAAGCTTGCACCATGCTCCAGTTCCACTAAACCAAATTACAAGTCCGTAAAAGAAAAAGTACCTGATCACAATAAGCACAACACTCCAAAATCAATAAAATCACTAACTTATGACATGGTGGATCCCACAAAATATCCATTTACGGGCTGAAAAAGAATGCAAAACTTGAATGCTAGAGGAAACACCTGATTGCATATCTAAGTCAAGATAACGAGGAAACTGAATTATAGCTGCCAAAATAAAAAATAATAAAAAAGTTGAATTTTATGGGAAGCAACGATGTTTAATTGAAATATCACGTGTTAACTATATAAAATACAAAACAAAATAAATTAGGTAACTCCATTTTTCTAAATGTACATTTGAGAATCTTAGAACGACTGACGTTCAAGATTTTACAGTCCTTTTATGTATAACCAAAATTAGCAAGCATCTTTGTAGCTTGATTAGCCTTGTAGAGTAGCCAAATCATTTGAGTGCAATGTGAGAGGATGCCCTAAAGTGGAAAGGTTTGCTTAATAATGATTATCTTTTCTTAAGAATTCAGAATTCCTTACTATTATAATTTAATTTTCTTAGTGTTAACCATTTTCTATGTTGGATAAATAAGTATTTTATATATCTAAGGGATATTATACCACAGCAAAGTTAACTTACCTAAAATAATGCATGACTGCTCATGCATATTTTTTTATGTCATTTAGATAATAGGGTGTTATATAAGTAAATTTAAAAATTTAAATGTTATATATAAATACTTTAGAATTCACTGTGTTACCTGTAAATCCCTTAAGATTTAAAGTTCCAGGTTTACTCATTTGTAAAACAGGAGCAACATTTAAGTCTCAAATTTTTAGCTGTTGGGCCATGGTTGAAAATTGATTTTATGCTTGTGGATAAACATCACATCTATAAGCTGACAACAATAGTAGGCATGTGTAACTCGAGAATAATGGATCACTTCTTTTTTTATTTTGTTTGGGTTTTTTGTTTTTAAAAAATATTTTTGTTTTTTGTGCTTATTCTATCTTTAACTTTCAACAACAAATCATTTTGTTTCTAAAAACACATTAAATAACTTTTTGGTATTTGATTGTTCTTTAAAACAACTATCATAGAACATGAATGCCACCACTGCCTAACTACCACCGCCACCGCTGCCACTGTCACTACCACTAGTGATTATCAATAGCCATCATCATCGTCACTGGTGACATCCATTGGCTGTCTCCACCACCATTACCATCTTCTCATTGAGTGTTGCTATTGCCTTACCGGTGACTGTTGCCTCCGTTACATAAATAAATAAAATATATTTTTAAATATCAAATATGTTTTTTTTCACGTGAAAACATAAGTAAAACAAAATTAACATAAAAAAATAAACAATAGTGATCTCCAATGACCCGTACATTTAGAGACTTTATTTTCTTTACTTGGGTATCTTTAAAGTCTCTAATGTAATTCTATTAACATATTAGCGTTACTTGCTTTAGTCAAGAAATCAGTTACTACTGATTCATATTAGGATATGAATACACTGATTTACTGCTCGAGTGTACTTTGCTCTTTGAAACATAAAGCCAGAAGGATCTTTTTAGCTTGTTTCAGGTTTATGTTTTTTTCCATCATTGTTCTTAAATTGACCACATTTTTTGGTTAACATTTTTTTTTAAATTTTCAAGTCTGAAGGTTATTTTCTGTTGGTCTTGTTTATAATTCTTATATCGCATGGCTGTTTTTGCATTCAGGTACTGGAGCATGGGAAAGTGCATTAACAAACACTCTTTTCACCTGGTGATAGGATAGTCTCTTTTCTTATTGGACAGTTTAGCTTGCTCTGGATTGATCAGCAGCAACGCCTCAAATTTGATGTGGATGTTATAGAAAGCGAATGGGGACAAGGTGCAAATCTTGATGTACTTGCGTCAAAGCTATCAGGCGACCGTGCTCATACTATAAAGGCTATTTGCATCGTTCACAATGAGACTGCAACTGGTGTAACCAACAACTTGGCAACAGTGAGAAAATTGCTTGGTATGTTTATAAATGAATCCAAATTTTTGCTTAGACAGACTTACCCTAAGTATCTAATTTAATAGCTTGTCTTTATCACTTTCCATGTTGGCAAAATGAAAATTCGGCTTAATTCATATAATCCTAATTTTTACTGGCAACCATGAATTTCTTAGGGGTTGTTTGGAATCACTTTCATTGTAAAATCTAATCTAGTAGCTTGTCTTTTTTTTTGTTTTTTGTTTATATTTTGATTTGAAATAAAACATATTTGGTTGCAATGACTATTTTTAAACAACGCATAAAAGTTGTTTTTGAGTGTTTTTAAAAATAAGATGATTTGTTTTTAAACATAAAAAATAAATAGATTAAAAAAAAACAAAAACAAAAATGCTTTTTTGAAAAGGCGTAAAAAATAAAAATAAATGCATAAAATAAAATTGATGCCAAGTGGGCCTTAGCATTTATAATTTTATAAGCTTAGTATCTCAATTATTACATGTCCATATTGCAGATGACTTTAACCATCCTGCATTACTACTTGTTGACGGAGTTTCTTCTATATGCGCCCTTGACTTCCGCATGGATGAATGGGGAATAGATGTTGCTCTAACTGGTTCACAAAAGGCTTTATCTTTACCTACTGGGATTGGAATTGTATGTGCCAGTCCAAAAGCTCTAGAAGCATCAAAGACAGCTAAATCTGTTAGGGTTTTCTTTGACTGGAATGATTACCTTAAATTTTACAAATTAGGAACTTATTGGCCCTACACTCCTTCCATCCAATTGCTTTATGGGCTTAGAGCAGCTTTAGATCTTGTATTCGAGGAGGGACTTGATAATGTGATTGCAAGGCACAAACGCCTGGGAAAAGCAACGAGGTTAGCAATCATGATGATGCCAATTTGAAATTTACTGCTATATATGGCTAATAATTATTGAGCGTGCTTATGATATTAGTCAGTATGCAATGGAGGAAATGTTGATTCTAGCTTATCTTCTGAATCATTGTTTTATTTCAAGCCATACTGAGGTCTGTTTTGCAGACTGGCTGTTGAGGCATGGGGATTGAAGAACTGCACCCAGAACGAAGAGTCTTATAGTGACACAGTCACCGCTATTGTTGTTCCGTCCTACATTGACAGTGCTGAAATTGTGCGGAGGGCATGGAAGAGATATAACCTAAGCTTAGGATTAGGCTTGAATAAAGTGGCAGGGAAGGTCTTCAGGATAGGACATCTTGGCAACCTTAATGAGGTTTGTGATATTTATTGTGTTTTATCACACGCAGGCACACACAAATATATATACATATATATATATATATATATATGTATA